GCTAAACGTCAAGCACGAAGACCCCAACGAGAGCCAGCCCCCGGTTACAACGACGACCTATTATCCCACGTCAAGGAGGTAGCATTGCAGCAGCAGCAGCAGCGGAGGTTTACGGGATGATCTGGGGATGGTGACATGAAAAAAAGCGAGGTGGGGGGGCAGCAGCAGCGAGACAACGTCCCGAAGGGTTCGCGCTTTCTCTTGTTTCCTCTGATTTGTGATAGCGCGCGTATATGGACTTTTGATGGCACAACGGGTAAACGATCTACGGAGTCTTGGCAAACTGGGTGTACTATTATCATGCGGCTGGATCACGAACGGTCTTTTAAAGTTATGGGCTGCATGGTCAGCCGTCTTTGAATGGGATGGCAGGAATAGCGAAAGGGCGCGGCGGGCGGATCAGGTCATGGCGATGACCATGTTTGGTTGGTTGGATGTTGGGCATTCAACCCGTTGTCATATGCGCTATTATGCGCGACGAAAGTATCAGACCAGTATGCTGGTTCCAACACGAATTTTCATCAGCATCCCATGGGTCAAACCCCGAGTGAAATGCCCCGAGTGAATGCCAACATTGAGAGATTCAGTCAGCCCAATCGGTGGCCATGGGCTCATCACTGTGCCTCTCCTGAGCCGGCATCGTTGAGGTCTATGCGATGGCAGTGAAACATGGGCCAACCCATGCAGACGCCATCGCCGGTGGACAGACTCTTGTCTTGTCCGATTCCTGTTCTTTTCGGTGTTGGAGCAGACGAGCCGCCTGGGCTGACTCGTCCGCGAGAGTCATCACCAAGGTTCCTGCCAGGCCTGGAATCCAAGATCGACTGATGATTAGGCTGCCAAAAACGAGGCTGCTCTTCGGCTGTCATGCAAGGAGACCGATATTCACCTACCGACATGGCATCAGGAGGGCGTGCTCCGGGTTTGCGGCAAGGGCACAGGGGAGCAGAGCACGGGAAGCAGACCGAACGGCCTCTTCTCCTGTCCTCTGCGGCGCAGCCTCCTCGCCGTTTGTTTCCCGCAAGGCGGGGCATCCCCCGGGGCTGGTTGGTCGAGTGGGAGAGGGTTGCCTGCCCCGGGAATGCCTGTCACCGTTTCGTGCAGTCTTACACGGCATGCTGCGCAGACGGTAAGGTAGGCGTGGCGATGTGTAACGCACCGCCGCGTGGGAAGGAAGATCTGATCCCAAATTGGCTGACGCGAGACGCATCTGCCGCCTGGAAGGGTGTCTGCTGCATTCGCTTTTGTTATAAGCGATTGGTCGCGTACCGCCGTCGTGAGATTCTTTTCTTCGGCCTCGCCTGCGGGCATAACGAAGCCAGACGGATAGCCATGGCGTAATATACGGCAGGAGGATGGAAAAGGGCAAACGTATGTCTTCTCTGGCGCCAACGCTAACGCGGCGACGAGGTGCTGGAGGGTGGCATAACATGCCAGTCGTGGGCTTGGCCCATCGCGTGGGCCTTGCGGATGGCTGAGGCGGTACCACGTAGCTAGGCCGGTCTGGTCACTGATGGGAAATAACAGGAAACGTGATGGGCTTCGAATTTCCCATGTGCCATGTCATCTTCGACGGACTCGGACATGAAGCCCGATTGAACCCCTCTTGGCTGAGCACATCTCCTGCTTCCCTCGTGTTACACCTGGAAGCAGGACGTGAGATTTAGCAGCGATGTTCTCGATCTGGATATATCGAGGCATGGTGGATTGCAGATTCTGTCGATGGCGCATTATGAACCTGATTCTGGCCGCGAGATCAGAATGTGAAGATGGACAACCGAAAAAGAAACGACCGCCAGGAGACTGTCACACACCTGTGGACATGATCCGGATAAGGAGCATAAGACTGGGGCGGGCGGGAATCGCTGAAGGTTACCCATCGAGGCAGGTTTCAATGATATGGGCACCCCAGGCGGAGTCGACACCCGGCGTTGTGATGTCGGGTGAGGGAAGGGGAAAACTGGCTAGCGTGTCAGTGAACAGGGTCCTGGGAGAAGGGATACCAAAGTTCCTTACGCTTTTTTCTCAGTGGGCTGGGCTGGGCCGCGTTGGGGGCGTCTGGAAAGAATCTTGGGAGAAAGAGAAAGCAGAAAAGAGGACGGCCATTTTGGTATGATTCTGCCTTAGCGATATGGGGACGTTTACCGGGTTCGTTTTAGCGACGAGACACCATGCACTAGATCGAAGGGGAGGTGCGGTGCGGATGGATGTGAAGTGCGCTGCCCTGACTGTTCTCAGAGGAAAGAACGCTATTGACATGAAAAAGGCGGGGCGCCAACGGGAGCACACCGTTCGAGCGCTCCAATCAGGGCGCGCGGAGGTACCTCCTTGTTGACTACTATTGGACCAGAAGAGGGGCGATGGGCATGGTGGACGGCGGCCGTGGTTGAGATCGTGCCTTCCAACCACACCCACACGGCGACAACCACCCTTGCTTGCCATACCATTCAGCTTACACACCCACTCTGGCGACTGTTATGTCACAACTCTTTTTCCACGAGCCCAACGTACCTTTTCAGGCACACAGACACGGAATGGACCTGTTGATTTGCAGATCTGTCTCCCGGAAGCCTTCGTCTCGAGCCGCGGGGGGCCTGGCTGACGACCTCTCGCCAGAGGAAGAGAGACACCGGATCATATACCGGGTATCTGCCTCACCTGCCTCCTCTTTCTGCGGAACAACGAAACAATGACGGGGCGAATGCCATGGCTTGGGGTCCATCCGTGATGATGCGTGCTAGTTTATTCCCGCCCGTTCATGTCGCAGCCGCCAGGCCCTCGCCTTAGTTTCTTTCTGCGCCGCGGCCGCTGGGATATGGATTGCTCAAGGATGCCAAAGTCAGATCATTCCATCCAGCTGACGACATGGAATTCTGTCCCTGCCCGGGATGGAAGATGCCGGTCTGCTGGTCTTGGATGGGGGTTTCCTGCACTGCCGCCGGGTGGGCGTCTCGAGGAGGAAGTTTGAAGCACCTTTCTCGAGGAACGGGGTGAGGTTGCGGTCGATGGCCGACGGGTACAACACCGGTGCGTATCGAGCTCAATCTTCTTCGCCTGTCTTTTCCGTGTCGAGTTGTCCCATTAAGAGAGCGGTGCTGACGTTTCTTCTATAAAAGGTTCGTGGCTTGCCCCTGAGATGGGAAAGTTTTGTCGATATCCAAGCAGCTCATCACTTACAAGACACACTACTCATACATCGTTTTATCAAATCATGGCCGTCAAGACGAGAGAGCGCATCATCGTTGTCGGTGCCGGCGTCTTTGGCGCCTCCACGGCCCTCGCTTTCCAGTACAGCAACACGTACAAGGACTACGACATTGTCGTTGTTGACCGTGATCCCCACGCGGACCCTGCCTCGGCGTCCCACGACCTCTCCAAGATTGTCAGGAGTGACTACGCCATCCCAGTTCACATTGAGATGGCGCGGGCTGCCATGGACATGTGGCTCAAGGACCCCTTTTTCAAAGAGTTCTTCCACCGTGTGGGCATGTACCGGTGCCAGCCGGACGACTTCAACCAGCAGAGCCTCCAGGCATACAAGCAGCTGGGATATCCCACCAAGTCTCGGTGGATTACGGTCGACGAGTTGCGCAAGCAGACGCCCGTCTTTGCCAACGCCGACTTTGGGACCTCGGACAAGGTGATGTACAACCCTGACTTTGGCTACGTCGATGCCGCGGCTGCTTTGGAAGCGACCCGCCGGGAAGCCTTCAACCACCCGAGAGTCGATCTTGTCGTGGGGGATGTGCAGAACCTCACTTTTGACGAGTCCGGCCACTGCACCGGCGTCAACGTCCTGCTGCAGGACGGCACCACTCAGGAGCTCAGGGGCAAGGTGGTGCTGTGCACCGGCGCGCGAACAGCCACCTTGCTCGAGAAGAGCGCCCCCGAGAGAAAGGAGCTCCACGCAGGCGAGAGACTCAAGGCCACCGGCGCCATCAGCTTCACCGTGCGCATCGACGGCGAGCTGAAGGAGCGTTTCGACGCCGGCCCCGTCCCCGTCTGGAAGAACAGGGTGAATGAGGTGATGGGTAAGTACATTCACCATCGATAGAGGGCCGCGGCTGACTTTATCAGGTGAGCTGGTGTCTTACAAGGACGGCCTGCTCAAGTTCAACCGCGACGGATGCTGGACGCTTGAGAAGGAAAGGGAAATCCTCGTCCCAACCGACGCGAACCTGACCCGATGGGTTGACGACATTGACCAGAACGACATCAAGAAGCTCTGTCGTGAGACCCTGGTTGGCCTGTGCGGCAAGGAGCTCGAGAGTTGTGAGATTGAAGAGTACCGTTTCTGCTGGTAAGTCTTGTCTGAGACAGTCGTGAACGTCTGCTGATGCCGCCCAGGGACTCGTACACCCCAAACCACGACTTCTTCATCGGTGAGCACCCCCGCTGCGACAACCTCTACTTCGCCACGGGCGGCTCGTTCCACGGCTGGAAGTTCCTGCCCGTCATTGGCAAGAAGGTGGTTGCCATGCTGGAGGGCAAGCTCTCGGAGCAGGAAAAGCAGATGTGGGCGTGGGACCGCACGAACCCCGACGCCGCCAACACCACATACCACGTCAACGGCGCGCTGGAGGAGATGCAGTAAGCGCAGCAGGCGTGATCCAGTAGGCGGGAAACAAAGGCGGTCATTTGAGCAATACGGGTGCATGGCTGGCGTTACTAGACGGACACCTACCGGGCTGGTCATCATCATTTTGCGGTACGGAGCACACTTGGGATCATGTCGCACATTTGGATTATTCGGCACATTGGATTATGCCAAATACATATCTTACACGGTTGAACAACACTCGCCGGTATCAGAGTGGTGTCTTTTGTGTGCCTCTCAATGATGCCATACCAACCAGTACCCAATGCGCCGAAACGAGCGCAAACAGTGTATGTGACGAATTCCCAAGCGCCTTTTGCCAACCCGACATGGGTATATGTGGCCGGTCATGGACTCGGCTTTCTGCTGTTCTTCCTCTTCTCGTCTCCCCGCCCTCACGGCCCTACGACGAGCCATTGACGTCCAGCTTGCCCTGCGTCTTTTCCAGGTACGCCACCAGATCCGCAATCGTGCACACCTTGAGCCCGAACCGTCTCGCAAAGTCGATGCACTGCTCGCCCCTCATCATGCCCGGGTTCTCGTGCACGGCCCGGCCCTCGACGACGGTGCCGTCGTCGACCAGCTCGCAGATGGCGGCCGCCTCCTTCTTGCCGGCCAGCCGACAAAAGTCGACGGCGGCCTCGGTGTGGCCCCTCCGCTCGCGCACGCCGCCCTGGCGCGCGCGCAGCGGCAGCACGTGGCCGGGGCGGCGCAGATCGGCGGGCTTCGCGGCGGGGTCGGCGAGGACCCTGCAGGTGAGGGCGCGGTCGTGGGCGGAGATGCCGGTGGTGACGGCCTCGTCGGCGGCGTCGACGGAGACGGCGTAGGCGGTGCCGCGGGGGTCCTCGTTCGAGGTGACCATCTGCGGCAGGTTGAGGCGGTCGAGGATGGCGGGGCTGAGGGGCGCGCAGACGTAGCCCGACGAGTGGCGGATCATGAAGCCCATCTGGGCGGTGGTGAGGGCCTCGGCGGCGATGATGAGGTCGGCTTCGTTCTCGCGCGAGGGGTCGTCGAGCACGACGAGGAACTCGCCGTTGCCTGGGGATTTGGGTCAGCGGGGCAGTCACTCAGAAGGCGGGATGCGCGGAGCGGCTTACGGAAGGCCTCAATGGCATCCGGGATGGAGTCAAACTTGGACTCGTCTATTGTCGAGGAGGGCATCGCGGCGTTTGGGTCTGTGGTTGGCGGTGGAAGGGCAAAGTTGGCGGCGTGGAGGAGGGGGACGTTGGAGGGGTAGTTGAAAGCGGCTCCGAGGGAAATTTAGTGGTGTTTTGCGGTTGCGGGCACACGGTTCGGGCAGGGGTCCTCGTTTTCTTCACTGCGCTAGGGATTCCGTCATGCGAGAGAGGGGCGACAACCGGCAGCGGGCAGATAGGAAATCTTGCAGGTGCAATTGACGGTAACCGCCGGCGGGTAAGGCACTTTTTACAACGTGTTCTCACGATGCGCCGGTCTCTGGACTTAATAATCTATCGGCCGATGCTGAGCAGAGAGGACACCCCAAGAAGCCCACCCGTCGCCAATCGGTTGACTCATGATGTGCCTGTCATCCATGGTTCCCATGTGCCTGGACCAGGGCGCCGACCACGCCGAGGATTCTCGGCCTGCGCGGGTTGTTTCTTGTTTGCTCGGTCGGCGGTCGGGCTTGCTGGCGTCCAGGGCCCCTGTGGCGCCTTCTTTCAGATGCGAACGGCACCAAACCGATAGCGGGCTCGGTGAATTACGTAAGGATTGCGAACCGTCCGAGGGCCCGCCGATTACACAGTTGATGGCCTGGCTGACAAACCTTGGTGGAAGCACCCGCGCGGCCCCGTTCTCGATTGCTCGTGAGGCCGGGAGTGCACATCCAGGATAGGATCCGCCGCCGACTTTGCGGTAGAAATCCCGTGCCTGCAGAACGTCTGCCATCTGCAATGCAGTTGACAGGGGTGCACTGACGGTCGGCAACAGCGCCGACGGGAAGCTAGAATTTCAGCGGATCTCCTGCTTTGTCATCACCTGGCATTGATTCATTTCTGCACACACCACCGCAACACCAGCAATGGCATCGTCACGCCCAGCAGCCGTCCTGCTGCGCTCGTTGCGGGCGAGGCCTCTCGTCACGGCCTCCCGCGCGGCTACGACGTCACCTCTCCTCCGCGCCGGGCTGCAACCCCGGTTCAACTCGACCTTCTCCTCCGTCTCTCCCGACGAGGTTGAGCACTTCAACGCCCTCGCCGCCGACTGGTGGGACCCCCACGGCTCCTCGCGGCTGCTGCACCTGATGAACCCGCTCCGACACACCTTCATCCGCGACTGCCTCAACAGCCAGTTCGACGCGCCGTCGACGCCGACCCGGTTCCTCGACGTCGGCTGCGGCGGTGGCATCTTCGCCGAGAGCGCCGCCCGGCTGCCCGACACCACCGCCGTCACGGCCATCGACCCGACGCCCGGCGTGCTCGCCATCGCCAAGGCGCACGCGAGGAGGGACCCCGCGCTGAGGGGTAGGCTGGAGTACAAGTCCGCCACGATCGAGACGCTGCCCGTGCCGGCGCAGCTGTACGACGTCGTGTCCGTGTTCGAGGTCGTCGAGCACGTGTCGTCGCCCGAGGAGTTCCTGGACCGCTGCGCGCCGTTTGTGAAGCCCGGCGGGTGGCTCGTCGGCAGCACCATCGCGCGGACGTGGATGAGCTGGTTCACGACGAACCTCGTCGCCGAGGACATACTGGGGATCGTGCCCAAGGGCACCCACGACTGGCGCAAGTACATCAACGACCACGAGCTGAAGGGCATGTTCATGGGCAAGGGCTGGGAGATGCCGCGCGTCCTGGGCGTCGTCTACGTGCCCGGTCTGGGCTGGAAGGAGGTCAAGGGCAGCGAGAAGGTGGGCAACTACTTTTTCGGCGTCAGGAGGGTGGCGTGAGGTTGACTGTATGATACTGTATACTACTGGTGATACCCTAGAAGGAATACGGGACTGGATTGCCATCTGGTTGATTGGGCGTTCGTTATGAAATGATGAGATCGAGTCGCACACAAGTGAGTTGACTTCATTCAGACATCGTCAGCTGGAGGCTCCAGGGAGGCTTCGTTGTCCAATCAAACACCCTACAAATCAGATTAGCTCCCGCTTATCTGCCGTGAAGAAGAGTTTCCTTTCTCCTAGGAGACAGCAGCGAGAAGAATCTCCCCACGTCCCTAGTTTCATGGGCAAAGAGAAATGCGGCTAGCAGGCCAGAGACGTCTTTCTCCGCGGGCGTAGCCAGGGCCGCCCGCTGCGGGCCGCAATCCTCCGCCTCTGATTGGTCAGTAGCAACCTTATCATCCGATGGCAGCTCACCTTATCACCACGAGCGACCTAGAATGCGATACAACAACCAACCTGTAATGCACCCGTGCCACCCTCCACCAAACGCACTCACATGTCCCTGCACGCCATGCGCAGACATGGCCGTGTGGCACGGAAACTCTGGTTTCGACCGTGGAAATGCATCGTTCAGACCGCCGCGGCCCAATCAGGTGCGGCCGTTCCTGGGACGTCATGGACCAACTCCCGGAGATGCTGATCCCAGCGGATCGTGCCAACTGACTTCATTGTGAGGCGACAAGATAATGCGCCTTTTATAATACTGTCCTGGAGTGTAGTCGCCTCTGTTTCTTTCCTTTTGCTCCGTCTGCTTTTCGCACCCCCAACTCTGTTCGTGTATCGGTAGCGTTTGGCATCTCACGATGGCGGAACGAAAGAGGCTCGTAGTCGTCGGCCTTGGCATGGTCGGCATGGCCTTCATGTGAGTCTGCGCGTGATGGTGGCGGCCTTGGCTGACGTTTCGCAGAGAAAAGATGCTGAAGCTGGATGCGCGGACAAATGAGTACAGCATCACAATCATCGGGGAGGAGCCCTACCTGGCTTACAACCGCGTGGGGTTGACGAGCTTCTTTGACCACCGCAAGATTGAGAACCTCTACCTCAACCCGGAAGAATGGGTATGTGGTCGTTGCTGCATTCGTGGCTCACGCTGACGTTTGTAGTACCGTGGCGCTCCCAAAGGCTCCCTGGGATACCACATCAACACCAAGGTGACAGACATTGACTCCCAAGCAAAGACGATACTTTGCTCGAACGGCGAAGTCGTCCCTTATGACGTCCTGGTCCTGGCCACCGGCTCAGACGCCGTTCTCCCAAAACACACCCCCGGCCATGACGCAACGGGTGTTTTCGTCTACCGCACAATCGACGACCTCAACAAGCTTATCGCCTTTGCTGCCACAAGAAAAGGCACCGCCGGAGCAGTCGTTGGCGGTGGTCTGCTCGGCCTGGAGGCTGCCAAGGCCATGGTCGATCTTGCATGCTTCAACCAAGTGAAGATTATCGAGAGGAATCGCTGGGTTATGAGTCGCCAGATTGACGAGGATGCCGGTGCCATGGTGGTGGACCAAGTACGGAACCTCGGCCTCGACATCATGCTCAGCAAACGCGTTGGAGAGATTGAGACCACCAAAGACAACCACGTCAAGGGCGTGCGTTTCGAGGATGGGGAGCGCCTCGACTGTTCGGCCATTTGCTTCGCTATTGGTGTACGGCCACGGGACGACCTCGCACGCAAGGCGGGCATCAAGTGTGCCGATCGTGGCGGCGGCATCATTGTCAACGACGACATGAGCACCAGCGTCCCCGACATCTACGCCATCGGCGAGTGCGCCAGCTGGAAGGGCATGGCGTTCGGCTTGATTGGCCCCGGCGTCGAGATGGCTGACGTCCTCTCCTTCAACCTCACACAAGCCAAGCTGCACCAGCCGCGGATATTCAAGAGGCCAGACCTCAGCACAAAGCTCAAGCTGCTCGGGGTCGACGTGGCGAGCTTTGGCGACTACTTTGCCGACACGCAAGGACCGAAATCTCTGCCTCCAAAAGCGGCAAGGAGGGCGAAGAAAGACGAGCAGAGCACTATCGAGACGTTAACCAACGGCCTGCCACCTGCCCCAGTCAAGGCGTTGACGTACCGTGACCCGTTCCAGAACGTGTACAAAAAGTACATCTTCACGGAAGACGGCAAATACCTGCTCGGCGGTATCATGATTGGCGACACCAAAGACTACATCAAGCTCGTGCCGTTAGTCAAGAACATGAAGGAGCTCGACATGCCGCCCAGCCAGCTGATCCTGGGCGCCAAGAAGGAGGGCGAAGACGATGGGGACGACCTAACAGACGACACCCAGATCTGCTCATGTCACAACGTGACGAAAGGAGATGTCGTCAACTCGGTAAAAGACGGCACCTGCAAGACCCTCGGCGAGGTCAAGGCCTGCACCAAAGCCGGCACGGGCTGCGGTGGTTGTATGCCGCTGGTCACCACCATCTTCAACAAGACGATGCTGTCCATGGGCAACGAGGTCAAGAACCATCTCTGTGCCCACTTCAACTACTCCCGCGCCGACCTCTACAACATCATCCTCGTCAAGAAGCTCAAAACGTTTGAAGATGTCATGCGAGAAGCCGGCAACGACCCTGCATCCATGGGCTGCGAAGTCTGCAAACCGACCTGCGGCAGCATCTTCTCCTCGCTGTGGAATCGCCACGTCATGGATACACCGATGCACGGCCTGCAAGAGACCAACGACCGCTTCCTCGGCAACATCCAGCGCAACGGCACGTACAGCGTTGTCCCGCGTGTGTCTGCCGGCGAGATCACCCCCGACAAGCTCATCGTCATCGGCGAGGTGGCCAGCAAATACAACCTGTACACCAAGATCACCGGCGGGCAGCGCATCGACATGTTTGGCGCAAAGAAGCAGGACCTCTTGGATATCTGGAAGACGCTCGTCGAGGCCGGCATGGAGTCGGGCCACGCCTACGCCAAGTCGCTGAGGACCGTCAAGAGCTGTGTAGGGACGACCTGGTGCCGATACGGCATTGGCGACAGTGTCGGCATGGCTGTCCGGTTGGAGGAGCGGTACAAGAGCATCCGCGCGCCGCACAAGATCAAGGGCGGCGTCAGCGGCTGTGTCCGCGAGTGCGCCGAAGCCCAAAACAAGGACTTTGGTCTCATCGCCACCGAAAAGGGCTTCAACATCTTTGTCGCCGGCAACGGTGGCGCCAAGCCGAAGCACTCGGAGCTGCTCGCAAAAGACGTCCCCCCATCCGAGGTCATTCCCATCATCGACAGATACCTCATGTTTTATATCCGCACCGGCGACAAGCTCCAGCGAACCGCCCGCTGGTTGGAGAACCTCCCAGGCGGCATCAAGTACCTGCAGGAGGTCGTCCTCGAGGATAAGCTGGGCATCTGCGCCTCTCTCGAAGCACAGATGCAGGAGCTCGTCGACAGCTTCTTCGACGAGTGGGCCGAGGCGATCAAGAACCCCCAGATCGCCGCCAAGTTCAAGCAGTTCAACAACACCGAGGAGACGCTCGAGAACATGGAGGTCGAGCTCGACCGCGACCAGCCCCGCCCGGTGTACTGGGCCAAGGACTCGGCCAAGGAAGACTTCAAGGGCCTCATCAGCAGGTGGAGCAGCATGGCGTGGCAGCCGATGCTTCCAGCGAGCCACTTTTTTGGCGCCGACGAGACGCCCAACGGCATCTCTGCGACCGTCAAGCGGGGAGACACGCAGCTGGCCATCTGGCGAATCCGCGGGAGGTACTACGCCACGCAGCAAATGTGCCCGCACAAGCGCGCCTTTGTGCTTTCGGACGGTCTCATCGGCGAGGACCTCGGCACCGACACGTGCAGCGACGCGAAGAAGCCCGACTCGGGATGCAGCACCAACGGCGACGCCAAGCGGTCCGCGCCGTGGGTGTCGTGTCCGTACCACAAGCGCAACTTTGACCTGGCCAACGGCGACTGCAAGACGGACGGAGAGCTCAGTATCGCGACGTTCCCGGTGGAGGAGCGTCCGGACGGCATGATATACTTGAAGCTGCCGCCCGTAGACGAGCTTGACGCCGCGCTGGGGACGGCAAAGTGGATGGTGAAGAAGGGCGAGGCAGGGAGCAGTCCGTTTGAGCAGCTCGATAAGAAGATTAACTTTAAGGGCCACCGTGGGAAGAAGCCTGGCGTGAGGCCACTGGGGACGTTGAAGATGCACAAGGCGGCGCAGCTCGCTGTCGGTGGGGGGTGTGGGAGTGCGCCGGATTGGTGAGGGCTGGACGATGGCATTATTACATAAATTTTGAGTAGATGGGCGAATGCGGCGGCAAAAATGGAGCGTTTGACCTTAAAGATGGTTGTTAGCGATGGCAGTTCATGCAGGTGGTACTCCATCTCAATTTGTGCTCTTTGGGATCCCTCAAGTAGCTATTTAATGCTGAAGAGGATTAGAGGCAGCTGCCGTGAGCAGAGACACATCAGACGGCGGAGAATACACAGCTTGCTGAAAGAAGCATTTTAATTTCAAAGTGGTGCAAAATAAACGTCGTTGCCAGCAAAAGTAATCGTGAAGTAAAGGTGTGTTCCTCAACAGCGGAATATTAGCATCCGTGCCTAGGAAAAAAAGGGAAAGGTGTGTTTTGTAATGGTGCAATGTAAACGTCGCAGCCAGCGAAAAGAATCGCAAAATAAAGGTGTGTTTTGCAGTAGTATTCTAGAAAAGGTATTTAAGGTAGAAAGCATTACACGCGATTGGCTGATCTCACTGCAATAGTGGATTCACAGTCCTCCCGGCCGGTGGGTCCCGCGGTAAGTCTTGCGACAAGCAGACTGACTCTCTCAAGGCAGGAGCCCTCCTTGCTAACCCTACTTATTCTCCCGAATTTCCAGAGAGTCTCCAAATATTGCTGTTGCGATTGTTTCTTTGAGATTACCAGTTTGTGGCCTTCAGATGAAGTGAGCCGGCGCATAAATGGCCCTCTTTTTACGGCGTGGCCCGCCTCCGGCTTGCGCCAAAATGCCAACATCCAATGGGTATAAATGACAATATTGTGGCCCAACAGAGCGGGAACAACTTTCCATCATTCGTATAAAATCTTGACGGTGGAACATGGTGTGTCTTCATTATGTTAGTGGAAACTAACAATGAACGCCAAACACATTTCACCGGGCAATGGAAGGAGGGATAATGGAGGAATGCTTGGGAGGGAGGGAGCATCTGACCTGTCTTGAGAGTATTTCTCGCTCTACACAGAGTCATTAGAAGTTTACTCGCGTCGTTGAGACTGAAGAAGTGCCGATAAAAAGAAGAGTATGACATGATAGGAGGGTTCCTGCGAACTGGCTCCTCATAAATTTCATACTTATTTCGCACCTTTTCAACATTAGAGGGCTCGGAGGAACCAAAACGAGCCACGGCGCCCTGGCTGGACATTTACGCCTTTGAGCGAGATTCAAATCACCGCATAACATTACGAAAGAGCAACTCATAAACGATACACTTTTATTCAGCCTAGGTAGTCCGACCAACTGCTTCTCTAGCGCGTCCTCCTTCCCAGGATCATGTACGTGGTGCCGTCCTGGACCACGCACTTCACCCTGACACACCTGTACTTGCTGCTGTCCTTCGCCGTGTGCAGAGTGCACATCGAGTTGGACTCTGGAAGCTCGTCGAGCGCGCCGTCCTCCGGGCGCAGGACGACCTGCGTCAGGCAGTAGGCCTTGCCGGGCTCCACGCTGCCGGGGTGCTCCAAGATCCTCTTGTAGGCGTCGTCGCTCACCATGGGCGAGGTAAGCTCGCGCAAACACTGCCGGTAGGTGTGATGCATGCCGTCGTCCAGCGGCGTGAGGGTCTTGAGGCGCGACGCCGCCAGGTCTACTGTCTTCTCCCAGTCGGACCGGCCATCTGCGGCAGTATCCAGCTGCGCCTCCAACACCTCGCTGGACAGCCGCTCCTCGAGCGAGCTCACATCTGCCTTCTCCAAATGAAGGTCAGCCTCTGTCGAGGCCAGCATTTCTCTCACCTTGTCCAACTCGGCCTTTGCCGAATCTCGCTCAGCCTCTGTCGAGGTCACCGTCTGCCGCGCCGCGGCCAACTCGGCCGTTGCCGAATCCCTCTCAGCCTCTGTCGAGGTCAGCTTTTCTCTCATCTTGTCCAACTCAGCCATTGCCGAATCTCTCTCAGCCTCTGTCGAGGTTACCGTCTCTCGCGTCGCGGCCAGCGCGGCATCTACCGAATCTCGCTCAGCCTCTGTCGAGGTCAGCGTCTCTTTCAGACGGGCCAGTTCGTTGTCCGCCTCTCCACGCGCCGTCTCGGCTTGGCGCAACTTCTCGGCGAGATCCGTTTTATCCTTCGTCGCCTGCTTCAATTTCTCCTCAGCAATAGAGAAATCTTTCATAGCCTCGGCGAATGACTCATTGGTGATCCTGCGGGTCATGTTCTCTACAAACAGCTTGTGCTTGCTCTCGCTCATTTCCTTATACTCTGCCTGGAGCTTCTCGTGTTCCTTGGACAGCTTCTTGTTCTGCTCGTCCGACTCCTGTAGGAGCTTGGCGTGTTCCTCCCGATTCCGAGTCTCGCGCTTGGCCGCCTCGTCGGCTCGAATGCCGGCAGTCTTGGCCTCGTGCTCGGCCAAGTCCAGCTTCTTCTGGAGGTTCATGACCTTCTGCGGCGTCTCCTCTGCCTTCTTCAGCGCGTCTTCAAACCTCTTGAGGATTCTAGAGACCTCGATCTCTGTCCTGTGACTGCCTTCGGCATGAGTGTCTCCAGACATCCTCACCTCCGTCGAGGATCGCTCCTGATCTCCGCTCACCGGGGCCATGACAACTGCAGAGACTCTCTCATACGCGGACAACCCAGAGTCCTGGGCACCATCTGCATCACTGACCGCACCTGCCTGAAATGCGGAGGTCCCATCCCCTGCGCTCGTCTTCTGCTGTTTAGCGGTTCTCATTGATGATAACGATCCGCTGCCCTCTCTCTTCCTTCCAACAGTCCGTCGACCGTCCACTTCTGCTCTGTCTGCTCCTACCGCAGTCGCGGTAGGCACCAAAGCCGCAGTCGCAGCCTGAGGCCGTGAAGCCGTCGTTCCTTCCACTGAATCGCGCTCCGGCGGCATCTTGGTCTCGGTGGGGGCGGTGGTAGTGGTCGTGGTTGTGAAAATTACAGAAGAAAATGCAGGAGTGATGATAAACGCAGGTGCGGGAAGGCGGAGAAAACTTGAGGAAAGACGGAGGTGGAACGTGGCCACCTGGGAAAGGGAAGGAGCCTTCAATCCGTTCCTTCTCCTTACACAACTCATCATGCCCTCTTCAAACCACCTCCTTCCCCACTAGCCAACTTTCAAGAGACACAGTCGGGATTTTTCAGTAAGAGAATCACTTTGGTAAGTTACAATCAAAGGTCAATTTTCACGGGTTACGCAGCACACAGGTGGTTGAATTGCACAGAATATGTATTGTTACAAAAGCATATTGGCTTCCCGAGTGGTAGGTATGGTCAACCCCGTGCCATATCTGGCAGTCAAGAGGGCATAAGTCTGAACGAAACAGGTGGGTGATCGTCGTTGCCGCGGCCCTCTTATACTTCGTTGTCCTTCGGGTCCTCCATCGCATCCGAAGACGGGGCCGGGTTATGCTCCTGCAGCCTCTTGTATTTCCTTTGCCAATCGAAAATATCGTCTTCCAACTCCCGAATCCTCTCATTCAGCTGGTCGATCTCGGTCTGAGCGGAGCCTGAGCCGGTCGCCTCGGCACTGGCCGTAAGCCCCGTCGAAGACCCGACGGGCCTTTCTCGGTCCGCGAGCTTCTTCTGCATAGCCACCCAGCGGCGCTCCACGAGTATTCTACGCTCGTGATATTCCAATATGACGTCCCTCGACGGCAAATTATTTTGCATCTTGAACTTGCCCGCCTCCATGCCGTAGCCCTCGCCCGTGTACCTGAACAGCGGCATTCCCTGGTGATCCATGTCCGTCAGCGCCTTCAAAATGTCCTCAAGATCAGTATCGGAGACCTTGTAGGGACCGTTGTCCTCTGTCTGTCTCGGTGGCGGTTGCTTGTACCTGCCCTCTAGCTTCTGCATGAACTTAGAGAACCAGCCACACGGGATGCCACGCTCTTGCATGTCGTCGCGGGTGATTTTGTGAAGCTCGGGCATCTCCATGCCCTGGCCCTCGTGCTGCTTGATAAAACGGATCATGGTGTTGAAAAAATCGTCCCCGGTCGGGTTCAGGAGCTTCCACGTCCGGCAGTCGTTGGTTCGCACAATCACTGCGTACTGGATGGCGACGATGAGGCATTCAACCTTGCCTTGCCACAGCGGGTGATGTGCCAAGATGGTCAGCATCTCCATAAAGGTCCCACTCCACAGCGGCGAGGCTTCCCTATCCTTCTTGACGTCCTCGTTGTACTTGGCCTTCTTGGCATGCTTCTTCCGCTCCGGATGATATTGCAGCGCGTACTTGGCCGAGATGGCCTCGATCGGGCTCTTGCGAAAGAGGCGCAGGAACACTTTCCACATCGTGATGAGTCTGTTTAAGTTTGAAATTCCCATCCAAAGATCACGGTTGGGGTGGTCCGCCCACTCCTTCTGCAAATCGTCCTCGTCCTTTCGGGTCCAGAACTCGCCGAACAACGAATTTGGAAGCTTTTTAGCAGGAATTATAGGAGGGATTATCTCGTCGACCTCCTGTTTGTTAATCTTCGACACGAAACTTTCTGTCGTAAGGAACTTCTTGTACGACTTTAGTGGCTGCTTCTCAATGTGAGACTGCTCGACGAGATTCCACGCCTTGTCAGGGCGCACCAGACACTTGCCGTAGTCATCATCGTTCTCTTTACCTTCATTAGCATCCGATTGGTCATCGCTACCATCCCCGGTTGGCTCCTCTCCTCCACCATCTGTCTCGCCCTCCTCGGAATTTGTCTCGACCTGTCCAGCATTCGTCTTCTTCTGCTTCTTGTCAATAGAACCGGGTGTGTCCGAACTCTTTCTCTTGGTCTTTTGACCTTCCGTTGCCGTGACAGCTGATGTCGCCGCCGAGGTCTTCGTCGCAGCCGCAGCCGCAGCCTTTTTCATGTTCTTGGGAGGCATCTTGGTGGTCGTCGTGGGAGGTGGTTATGGGAAGTGGTAGTGAAACTCGCAGTAGAGAATACACGTGCAATATGGGGGAAAGATGCGAAAAGCAAGTGTGGGAAACTAGAGAGATGTGATGTTGTGAGGAGAAGAAGAGGGACATCGTTCAAGTAGGAAAGAAATCAGCCTTCTGAATGAGCTCCTTACTGCACCTTCGTCCCCAGACACCTCCTTCCTTCCCCACTTTCCAATCTTTCAAGAAGGCCCAACAGCATTCATGGGGCAAGCACCGCGTTATAGAGGCAGGATTCAACCTAGAGACGTTCCCCTCTCAGTTGGACACGTTGAGTATCTGGACAAGTGTCCTTTCGATTTAAGTTTTTCCTTCCATCCTTCCTGTACTGAGCAAACGCTGCCACCGCTGGCGTCTTTCTCGGGCACTTCGAAAGCTATCCGGGGGGTTGGGAAATGGCAATGGTTGTTAAAGAATATCTGTCTGTGTCTCGGTACAATTGCCATCGGATAAACTCACAACTGGTCTCAAGTCCAGACCTTCTAAACAGCTACTTGGGTCTACTCGAGTGCTGAGGTATCGGGCATCCGGTTAGAAGGGAGGCACTGGTAAATTCAAGCACGGTCAGAATAACAAGGAAGACATGTTGTGACTTGGAAACACGAAGTCAATGAACTGCGCACATCCGTCGCATACCATGTATTGCATGCTCGTTGTTTCTAACCTCCGGGAAATCAGCCAATCTCCACCCCCACGGCACGATCATAACCATACTCAATACTAGTCAGCGCAAGCTCGCGCGCCAACCACTGCGTTTACACATCAGTCCCTCCTTCCAATGTACCCACGGGATGGGAGCTCTTGGCGCGGATGCCGACTTCTCACATACGGTATCGCAGGCTGTGTGTCAGGAGAAGCGATACCACATACAGCTGGGCCGCCACAATGGCCAAGAAGCTCTCGTCCCTGGCGTCACGGGGTCTTGATCTGAATCGAAAAATCTCGTCCTCGAGTCGGTCTCGACTATTATAGAGGCCAGCGAGCCAACTTGCTTCGGATCGCTGTGTCCAGTCTTGTTGCGGTGTGGGATAACCCAGGAGTTGCTGCGGTATGGGATAGCCAAGGCGCCTTCGATGCGAATAAGGGTACCGGGCCTGACCATGAAAGCCTCCAGCGTACTGATTCGTCGTTGGAAAGTAATTTCTGTGCTGATGTACGCCGTACATATTGAGACCGCCGGCTGGTGCGTGGGAATGCGAAGCGTTATGGGTCTCAACAGGACTCCTGGGGTCAAGTTGGAGAGAAGGAAGGTTTCCATAAAGATGAGTTCGCGAGCTGCCTACTTGCTCTCCAACATTGGAGATGGCCTTAGCCGAGGTTTGGAGACCAGTCGTGCTGGGGGCGGCGAGGTTGTTATGGCTGTGGTGATGTTGGCGGTCATGACAGGGCTTCTTCGTAACATGGACCCGGTTTCTGCTACCGTCAGCGCCCTTATCTTCATCGACAGTATCCGACAAGTCTTCTTCGACGCGATTGTGTGACATCTTGCGTCGTCTGTCTGCATAGGGACGGTGGCGATAACGCTTCCGCCGACGACGTTCTTCCTCGAGGGCGTTTATCCTTAACGAGCCGCTGCGGAGTGGATATCTTTCTCTAGACTGTGTTTGTTGGCCAGAGACATTGGTTTGAGCCTTCTGTAAGTCTCCTGAGCTGGAATTCTTGAGAATGCCATGTAGCCTAGGCGCCGGCTTCGGACTGGAGGGCTCAACGGGTTCGTCGCCATCTATTTCGTCAGACCCAACCATGGAGATGCCAGGCCAAGAATCACTGCTTGAAGTGGACATGGTGTCCCAGTCCGTCTTCGAATTTGAATCTGCCACTTCGGCGAGAAGGCGTGGAGGGGGCATTTTGTCTATTGATGTCACTCTGGAGAGGAAAGATGTTTTGTGTATGTGGGATGGATCGTCTTCTTTTTCTCAACGTAACAAAACAGTGGAAGGCGATTGAAACAAATACCAGTTGGGGGCAATGATGGAGTGTCGTTGGAGAGAAGTTGATGATGGACGGGTGTCAGTTGAAAGAGGTGTATGCCCGGGGTTAGCCAGCAGCTTCCTTCCGAATAGGGCAGGTAGGGAAGGTACCCGTTTGGTCCAATGGAGGAAGTCGCTGCTTTAACGCCTGCATCTGTCAGCAACCACGACTCGGCCTGCTCTTGAATATCAGCCATTGCAAAATCATACATGGAATTGACTTCACGAGAATGATGGCAGTGGATACCATGACAAATGTAGAGAACGAGTGCTTGAATCTGTGCCTGAAGACTATGTAAAGCAACCCAACAACGTTCTCTTAAACCCAATATTTACTTGCCACGAAAACCTCCACTAAAGAGTGAGCGCATTCTGCCCCAACCCAAGGTGCACCTCAGTTCTGCGCAATTCCTCCACGCTGCTCAAGACCTTTTCCAAATTCTTCGTCTTGGGGTCAATTGGCAAAGGCATCCTTTCCTCCTTTCCCGCCCTGTAGTCGTAAAACTCCCACAAGGGACCCGAGCGGTTTGCGTACTTGCACCAGACGTGCCCCTGGCTCTTGGCGAAGTCCTTGGTCCAAGGAAAAGGGCCCCCTCGTGGATCTTTGATTTCAATTGAGGAAGTCGCGGCCCCCATGACGAGATCAACCCAAGGGGTCCTCGAGGCGATCGCTGGCCTGTTGCCTCTTCTATGGACGAGGAGGTGATACAACTGGGCCTTGGAGAGCCGCGATACTCGAGCACATTCATCCAAATGATGCAGCTTCGTGTTGCACAATGGGCAGCCACTGATCTGGCCCGAGAGATCTGGCCAGATGCAGTCAATCAGACGATGGCCTCTGTGGCCGCAGTTCCCACACCTGAGCTCAACATGACGGTCGATTGACTGTCGGCCGTGGGTGACGAGCTTCTCTGCATCTTCCTTGTTGAGCTTGACCTTCTCGCAGAAAGGCGGCTTGTCGCGAATTTCTTGGGGGGGCTGGAAGCGCCTTTCAGTGAATCGCGGTGGACGGTGAAATCGACCTCGGTCTGAGGTAATATCGGGCTCGCGTTGAATTGATTGACCCCAGCCATGATTATCACCTCTTGACAGTGACCTGTATGATGGCCGCTGGTCTCGATCACTGCCTCGTGGTTGGGCTGGCGGGTCAAAACGGGAAGGGGCAGGGCGGCCACGTCCTTCCCGGGCGAAGTCGTGGTAGACCCCTCTGCTTGGGTTCTGGGGTCTAGATCCTGGTCTAGGCTTGATCTCGCGGTCATGATTCTCTGGTCGTCGTGTCTGGTCTCGAGCCAGGGTTTGCTGCGGGACGTAGCTGTCGTAGCTCTCTCGATGTACCTGATGCGAGGGTCGAGGCTGGTTGCTTGAACGATGCGGACCTGAAGAGGGCCGCGACGACAGTCTGTCGTGAGTCGCCGCGTCGTGGCGGTGGTCGTTGTGGTGTTGAATCATGTGCCGTCTATCGCTGGTTGCTTGGTGCTGGTTGCTTGGGCGATGCGGACCTGAAGAGGGCCGCGACGACAGTCTGTCGTGTCCCACCACGTCGTGGCGTCTCTCGTTGTATGTTTGTAGCCTGTACAGTCTATCCGCAGAAACGTTAGCAAATTCATGCGCCTCTGACATCGTCGATGTCTGCTGCTGAGTGGGCTGCTGTCTCTGGCGTCGCTTCCTATCCAGGCTGGCCTGGGCGCGAGCGAAGTCATCTTCTGCCCCCTCCAGCGAGTCGCGACGAGGTCTCTTTCTGTGAGGGTATTCGCCAGCGTCGGAATTCATGCCTTCCTCCCATTCACGCTTTGGTCTCGCCATAGTGTCTGTTGCGGCGTTGTGCTCAAAAGGGACAAGAGTGCGAGGAATTAGAAGTATAGAGGTGAGAGTAGAGAGCGAAGGATAGGAATGTAGTGGTGAAAAGAGTGCGAGGGGTAAAAATGTATTGGTGGAGAGCCGCGTGAAGAATCGGAAGTGTGTGTGTGAGAGAGAGGAGGGAAAGAGGGAAAAAGGCAGGAGGAGCAGAAGGGTTTTCAACTCCCACGATGGGAGGAGGCTCGGGTTCGAGGTGCAAACAAGAACAGCTTCCGGGTGTTTACAGCGAGCAAGCGGGCCTGTTTCAATCACCCACACATCTTCCATTCAAACGCGAGAACCCTAGCACCAAAGAAGGCAACGGTGAGTTCATGTCGCGGATAGTCACCGTGGCCACATGGCTTTTGTACTCTTTGTGATCATCGCCATCCATCAACTTATCAGGGACTGCAAACGACACACGTTTCCCAGGAACTGCCGTAAATCGACAACACAGATTAGACATTGACTATGAAATACGTAATCCTGCACCCTGGTAGGGGACGTCTCAGACCAACGTAAAATTATTCGACGTCCCCTCAAACGCCGTAATGGACCCTATCAACGGCTTCGAATCGCCATAGTACTTGATCCGATACGTCCCCGCCGCAGCGCCGTCCCCGGCCGTCTCCCAGCTGATGGTGACCTCGCTATACCCGAGCAGCCAGTTGGTCCTTGTCCACGTGTACACCAGGAACCAGTCCTCGTCGTTCCTCACCTGCCCCCACACACCGTTCTGCAACTGCTCGACGGCGGCGTACGTCCCCTCGAGGCGCAGGTTGTTCCGCGGGTTGGCCGCCTGGAAGGTGGCGTTGACGACGGCGCCGCGGGAGTACGACGCCGACGGCTGCGTGACGACGGAGCCGAACGAGCGGCCGCTGGGGGTGCCGTCCACGACGACGCCGGTGATGAAGGACAGCGAGTTGCCGCGGTTGTCCGGGGGCGACGGGCCGGCGGGCGGCGTGGACGTGGCCGAGGGCGAGAGGAAGCCGATGTTGGAGACGGTGAGGTTGATGTAGGCCGGGAGGGTGCTCCTGCCGAAGAGGGTCGACGCGCCCTCATAGCGCTGTATGGCGTACTCCTCAGGGGTCGCGATGTAGTGCGCGTAGGTGTTGGCAGGGCCGCCGAGAACGACGATCGGGTCGTTGTCGACGATTGACGTGGCGGCCTGCTTGACGGCAGCCTTCCAGCGGCGGCCAGACATGGTGGTGGCCTCGCCGGGAGCGACGATGATGACCAGCTGGCCCACACGGAGCATCTGGATGTCGACAATGTTGGGGCTCCAGGCGTAGGGGGTGCTCATCTCGCCGACGTCGAGGAGGACGGGCTTCGGCTGCTGGCAGGCGGCCTGCGCCGCGCTCGGGGTTCTCAAGAGGCCGGACACGACCGCCCAGAGGGGGTTGGCGTCAGGGGTGCCCGAGTCGGCCTGGGTGAAGTCGAACGCTCCCGGGCCGTCGGACGTGCCGGCGGCGAAGGAGTAGCCGAGGGCCGCGGGGCAGGTCATGCCCTTGGTGCCGTCTGCTGCGGTGAAGTTGAAGTAGGACATGTCCTGGAAGAAGTGGAAGGACTTGACGCTGGTGCCGGTGACGGGGGTTGAAGAGGAGCTCAGGGCGGTCTGTCTGGTCAGCCAGGCTCGGTGTGAGGATCGATCAACTTACGTAGACGCTCTTGGCCCCGGCGAACTGCCGTTTGCCAATTTCATAGCAGCTCGAGATTCCCAGGTCCAGCTTCTGGAACGCCGGGCCTCTGCCGTGGCATGACTGGCTCTTGCCATCAGCGCAGGTGCTGTTCTCGAGACTGCACTGCTGGCCAGAGCCGTCGTCGCACCACGCGCCGAGGACGTTGGGGGTGGTGTCGCCGACGTTGGCCTGGCTGAACCCAGCGACGAAACTGTCAGCGGTGCTCGAGTCGCCCGCGAGGTCCTTCTCGAGGAGGTACGCGGCGACGCCCTTGTTGTCGCCGGCCACGTGGGTGCTGTTCTGAAGAATCGAAGTACCATGCACAGGATACCACGTGAGAACACCAATGTTCTTGCCGTCAGAGGCACGCTGGAAGCGGAGAAGCGTGAGGGTAGTGTCGGTGCTGGCGCTGTACTTGGCCCTCTCCTCTTCGGGGTTGGCCAAGTACGCCCAGAGACTGCGGTTGATTGCGCCGTCGGTGACCTCGGTGGTCCCGACGTCGAGATAGCCCTGGATCGTCAGTCAGGTCTTGAAAGGCAGTGAACGACATACCTCGGTCAGCGACTCGTGCGCCTTTTTGATCGACAGCACCGCGCCGTCAACGATGGCCTGGTAGCTCTGCTTGTCGAATCCCAGGCTGGTGACTTGGGGCAGCAGGTAGTTGAACCACGCTCCCGGGCCGGCGTGGCTGTGGGTGCCCGTGACGGCAATGTTGTCTTTGGTGTACATGGAGTAGCCAGACCCAAGGGCCTTGACGCCCTCCAAGATGCCATTCCGAACAGCGGTGTCACCGCTCTGAGTGTCCAGCACGAGATACACAAACCGGTCGTTCGGCTTGCTCACATCGCCGACGATGAAGGCGCGGCTGTAGATTCTCTGCCTGAGACCAGTCCCGACCTGGTCCAGATCAGCATACCCGGCAAACCCAATCTCGACGACGGGCCCTGTTATGTCAGCCTTGCCGGCGCCGATCAGGTACTTGTCACCCGCCGCGGCGCGCGTCTTGGCTTTGAGGTGCGACTTCCAGGTATCATCGCGCCGGATGTTCAGCGCCGGGCCCTGTTGAGCGCCGAGCTTGGTGAAAGCGACAGTGGCTAGGAGCACAAAAGAGACGAGTGCAAAGACGGCGAAGAACGAGCGCCGGGGCAGCTCAAGGCCGGAACGAGAGTATCGAGGCATGGCGGGCGATACGGTGTGCCCCTCGAGTTACGATAGAGGACGCCAGGGCAGCCGTCGCCCTTTATGACCGCACACCTCGGCCATCAACGGCCATCAACGCATCGTAGCCCCTCGACAGCTACAGCTAGCTGTTCCTGGCCCTGGATGCCGGTGACGCGGGAAGGGGAAGGTATGCCGACACATCTCTCGTCGTGATTAGCCCGTGCCCTGATGGGCGCAACGTTGAGCAGCCCCAACGGCAAGCGAAGTCAATAAAAGCAGGTAGGGGCGGTCATGTCAACACGACAAGAGATGGACGCTCCCTTGCGCAGATGCAATCTTGCGTCACATGGTGGCCGGCGATGTCGCCGTCTGATTGGAGATGTGCGTGAGGGTGGTGTCCATTGGGAGTGCGGGGAGTTGTAATTGGGGTCACCCGTTGCCATCATTGGGCAGGTCGTCGTGAAGATGGGCAATGTCCCGCTCGGCAGGATGGGCTCCGATTTGGCCGTCAGGGAGAGGAGCACGGTGAACTGGTGCGTCCGGGTGTTCGCAGGGTTGTCGTCTTGCTACACTAGAAGAAGAGCTCAGCTCGTGGCTAATCGCCCGTCGAGAGGCATCACATCGTTCCAGGGCGATGCTGCAGGTGCCCGGTTTGCAGAGTTGGCATCCCGGTCGCAGGCCTTCAGTCAGCGTCGATTGTGTAGATAACAGCGATGTGCCTGCGACGTTGATAACCCAGCCCTGGCCGGTGTGCTCCCCTTTTGGCCCGTCATGTGCCGTACGCAGGGAGTTGGCTCGGCCCCGATAGCGACGGCTATGTGTTGTTTATCTGGGTGGGGCCTGCAGCTTTGAAAGGTGGAGATGTGGACTCCTCGCCTGAGGACTGCCGTGCCGTATCCGCTCGACTCCGCTGGCGAGTCTCCGCTGGTGAATCAACTCTCCAGCCCGTCAGGGAGCGGTCGTGGGCTGACGAGTGCGTGTTGTCGTATATACGCGATAAACACAAACACCACACATCAGGAGCTTCTCCTATTATTTCGCAGGGTCAGCAACGCGGTGAGTAGTTGACAGACATAGACGTACCTCTGTAAGCACTTCCACCACAGCCGAACTCTCAAGTCAGAGGGTGTCATCGACCATCGGCACCTCCTCAAACAGGACAGCCCCTCACCGTCATCATAAATCACAATACAACTCATGCGCAGACCCGCAACGACACATGTCGATATTGATTCTACATAGCGGCGGCCCACGGCCACTGATTATAGAGAAATAAAAACATCGCAACTTTTTCAGCCGACACGTATATATCCCCTGACCGTATCCCTCGCCCAATTCCATATTGTGACAGTCCTCGAGGGGATCAATGCCAGCCCGAAGCGACATCCGTTGTCTCTGCTCATGCAAAATCCGCTGGTCCCAGCCTTTTCCAGCCGTCGTCACGTTGCTTCCGTACGAAACGCCAGGTCAAAAGACACACATATCCTCCCGGGTTGACGCCCAAAACCCATGTCCAGTCCGTAAAAAGTACAATAAAGAAAAATAAATGCATCTAGTATGTAGTAAGGGGAGATACCGCCTCTAGACATAGGAATCAAATTGTCAGCACCCGTCCTCTTCGCATTCGCTCATACTGCCGTAGCCCGTGTCCGTCTCCATGCCGACGACGCTCTTGGTGATGCTGAGGCAGCGGTCGACCATCTTGTGGCGGACGTCCTGCTCCAGACCGCACTTTTCACCGGGCGCGCTGCCGATCCAGATGCGCAAGCTACCGGCGAGGCGCTCGAGGGATGTGCTGAAAGACTCGGTCGACGAACGGTGGGCGTAGAGCTCCTCCATGAGCTTGAACAGCGCGGTGCAGCCGAGCAGGGACATGTTGGCGGTGGCGCTGGGGCGGGCAATCTTCTCGACGAGGCGGAGGCCTTCCTGGGGATAGGCGGCGGTTGACTTGGCGCGCTGCAGGTGAGCGATGGCCATGGCACACTTGAGGGCCATCTGGACGTCGGGGGACTGGACCATGGAAGAAGAGTCGATGATGGCGGCGATCTGGTGCAGTGACTTCTGCTCAGAGGTGGGCTGGACGTTCTGGAGGGCGGCGGCAATGTTGGCTCCGCGCTTCTCGTCGAC